CCAAGCACCCTGCCCCACCCTCTCAGACGGCCTGCTCCATGCCATTCCCGCCGGCCCCAGAGGCCTTGGTCGATCCCCTTGCCTCCGCCCAGGCCCTGAACCCGGGGTATCGTGCCTCAAAAGCGCCGGCCGTCTGCCCGAGAACAAGGTACAGCTTTTCGCACCGTGCATTACCCGCAGAATCGCCGCCCTCCGCCGTTGTTGAAAGGGTCGAGTGCCCGGCGGCCGCCGCGGCCTTGTGCCCACCACCATGCGTGGCGGTGGTGGTGTGCAGCAGGTACTCAAGGCGACTGTAGCGGTCGGCGCTGTACGTGAGTTGCACGCCCAGCGTGCCCACCTTGGCCTCCTTCAGCGCCGCATGCCATTCTGGCCGCGCAGCGGCGAGGCCTCGCAAACGCTCCCACTTTGCTGCGAGGTTGGAGGGCTGCATGGCAAGGAGCACTGGAGTTGAAGCCAGGAGCGTGCGGGCCTGGAAGGAAGTGCGATTGGGGGATGTGCGCGAGCGTGACTGAGATGACGAGTGGTGCTAGGGGTGCCGGCACGTGCGCCTGCACCTGCATGCGCTCGATGCAGCATGCTCAGTGCATGCTGCAGCCCGCAATCGAAATGTGCCAGCCACGCCCTGCATAAGCGCTGGGGCCCGCATGGCTGTTGAACGCCGGGGGTTGCGTATCAATAGACAGGATCCCGTCACGTTGGCTACTGCCTCCGCACCTGCTCGTGCGTGATCCCTAGCGTGCCACACAGCCCCTCAAACCGCTCCCGCATCACGCTCGGCTGCAGCCCGATCACCACAGGGCAGCGCACGCTCAGCGCTAATGCCGCTGCGGCCGACAGCCCCATCAGCGACTCCAGGGCCGACAGACGCGTGGGCACCTGCACAGCCCAAAGTGCACCAAGCGGGTGGCTGGCGGCATGATAGCACACATGGCCGCGCGCTGGGCAGACAACCTTGGAACTGACCCCACAGTCCTGCACATCCATTCGCATGCACAGTTCATAGACGTCCACCTGCTGCGTATTACATTGGAATGTTGCCGCAACATGCCCCGACATGATGCCCCACCTCGCTCATGGCGTTGACCACGAAGGGCGTTCTCCGCAACCAGGCGGCCACGGCTTTTTCGCCGTAATCATCCACCAGTGCGTGCAGGCCGGCCAAAGACTGTAGGGAGCGTGGAGCACGGCAGCGGCTTGCAGTGGTGGACAAAGAGCCAGGACCTCGAGCAAGCTGGCAGCACACAGGTATCAATTTATCAAACAAGTGGTTTGCCTGATAGCAGGCATGCGCACTGGCGCCGTCCCCTCGTGCATTCCTGCCGACAAACAAGAATTAACTTGCCTCAACAATGACGCGGAACCCAAGCCGCCTGCGCGCGTGCGCCAGCTCCAGCGCCTCCACCACGCCCTCCGGCAGCCCGCACGCCGCCAGCATGCGGTCCATTGCCGCGTGCTCCGTCGCCCTGGCCGCCTTGCGCGCCTCGGATGCGGCAGCCCTCCTCAGCCCGTCCGCCTCGCGCCTGCGCGCCTCGCGCGCCTGCCGCCGCTCCTCCCTGACTGCGGCGTCCACCCGCCGCGTGTTTTGCTGCTTGTACCGCTCGCGGTACACTAGCTTCTGCGCCTGACTGCGCTCCCGATCCTCTACAATGCGCCCCAGCAGAGCACGCAACTGAGGCGGGGCGGCCTCGGGGGCCGACGGCGGCGGCGGCAGCGGCGGCGCGGGGGCGGCGCCGGTGGTGGCAGTGGCTGCTGCAGTAGGATCGCTTGTCACAAGGTGCGGGTCTGTGGCCGCCACCGAAGCGGCGGCGACAAAGGCGGCCCGACCACGGTCGCCCAGTTGGCATGCTGCAGCAGCTGTCGCCCAAGCGGGTGTGCTGAGCAAGTGTTCACTGCCCGTGGGTTGACTGCTGCTGCTGCTGCTGATGCTGCTACTGCAGATGCTGCGGATGCTGCTGCGGATGCTGCAACTGCTGTCAATGCTGCTGTGGGTGATGGTGGTGGTGGCGGTGCCAAAATTGCCGTTGCTGCTGCTGGTGCTGCCCGTGCTGATGGTGGTGTGGGTGCCGAATGGATTGTCGAGCCCCATGCTCCTCACAACAGCACAGCTGTAGCCGCTCCAACTGCTGGATGTGCTGCAGGCTGTTGCCGCCAAAAAATTGCGGTTGGCCCCGGGCCATGAGGCTGCCTCCATGTGGGTGCAGCTCGGCCATCTAGCGGCGGCTGCTGCAGGCTGCGCCCGGCGCCGCCTAGTGGGGTATTGACCCGCGCAAGTGCTTCCAGCGGGTCGGCTGCACACATGTTGCAGCGGCATCTAGCAAAAATGTGCCTGGGCCGCCCCGCCTGCAGCAGCAGCAGCAGCCGCCTAGCTGGCCCGTTGCAGCACCTGCGGTGTGCGAAGGCGCAAAATCCACTGGACGGACGCCGTGTGAGCCCTAGAACGCGTCGAAAGCGGCGATAAACACAACCAACGCCAAGTACAATGTGCCCTGCTCGTGCTGACATACAGTTGCGCTCGGCTTCCCACAAGGTTCCAACGCTCCTCATGTTGACGTTCGCCCCCACGTTTACTGGGACGTCCGCTCGCATGGTTGCTACACATGCGCATTTCGAAGTCATCAATTTCACACTCATTCTCAACCGCAACCACCAATTTGATCTAAGGCGCTGAACTTTGCTCGTCAGGTCTCTCAAGCGAACATGGCCTCCACCGATCCCGAGCTGAAGCTGCTGGGCTTTGTTAAGTGAGCGCGCAGCGCGCGCCCCTGCCCAGGAGACGGGTTGGGGTCAGCTGTCGCGGAGCGCCTCGGGGCCACGCGCGGCACAGTTCGAACTCATATGGGATATTGGGCGAGTCCAGACTGCTCGACATGCGCCCTGCAAGCGCGCACGACTTGCGGGCCCATCTGTTGTGCGACGCATCCGGTACCCACCCGTGATGCCACATGTGCTGCATTTGGCGGCGCGCTTCCAGGCCGTATCTGGGTGTGCTGCAGGTGTTGATTGCTTGTGTGGGTCCGCACTGTCGGCCCCAGCCTGCATTCTTGCTTGTCCTCCGACCGCGCTTGGGCGCCGCGTCACACCGTCCACGCGCATCCGCAGGACCTACGCCTCCGCGGCAGTGTCCACGGGCGAGGCGTTCTACAAGAAGGCTCGCACCTTTGTGCCCTCAGGCCTGGACCCCTACGTCGTGACTTTTGAGGACAAGGCCGCGGCCCTGAGTGCGCCGTACGTGTCGCTGGCCACCGACAAGGCCGCCGAGGCCCTCGCCTTCGCTGACAACAGGGTGCGGCCCCTGCACGACACACCCAGACTGCATGCTGCACCATGCATGCAGGGCTCACAACGGCCTGCAGCGTTTCATTCTTGCACGGGGCGGCCCAGGTCATGCAGCGTGTCATGCATGGTGGCTCACGGCGTGCTTGGTGTGGCAGCTCCCACACAGGTCCGCGTGCCAGGGGCGCGCCAGCTGACAGCTTGTCGTGGTGCCAGGCCGCCGCTCCCTCTCTCCCTGTGCTTTGTGCCTTCTCACGGTCTCGCATAAATCGGATGATTGCTTTCCTCATCTGCCTGACACGTGACTTGTCTCCTGGTACCTCGCCCCTCATTTCCTCGCTGGAGCCCCTCCCAACCCCCTCCCCAACCCCCTCACAAACACTCGCACATACCATTTTACAGGTGTCGTCCGTGCTGGATTACAGCCGCGAGCTGCACTCCAAGAACATGGGCTCCTTCAGCTCCGCCAAGGACTCGTACTTCTCAACGGTGGAGGGCCTTGTCAACGCCACCAAGGCCGCCCTGGACCCCCAGCGCTACGTCGCGGTGGGTGGCGGCAGCGCACAGCAGGGGTGACCTCCAGCATGACACGGTCGGGTCGTAGACGTGCCCCCCAAGATGAGGAGCGCTCTCATGCGCCTGGACTGGGACAGTCGCTGGTCTTACAGCCGGGGCTTCCTATTGCTCTTTCCCGCTGCACCCCTGCCCCTCTTCTGACACAAATCCTGCCACACGCTCAACACACACCTAAAACTCACGCTCACTTGCCCCCCCCCCTTGCAGTACGCCACCGAGCTGGGCAAGACCCTGGTGGACACTGTGGCGGCCTACGCCGACCCCGACAAGGCCGCGGCCACCCTTACGGCCGCGTACGACAGGCTGTCCGCCATCGGCCCCGTGCCCAAGGTCCTGGAGATTGCCGACCCCTTCATCACGGTCGGCACCACGCAGTACACCAAGGCGCACGACCTGCTCGTGGTGGGTGGACAGGAGGGGGCGGCGTGGACGGGCTGGGGCAGGCTGGTCGCGGCAGCCGATCCACTGCATGGTTGCACACAGCGCCACAGCTGGCCGTTCGTGCCCTCATCCCCCTGGTGCCTTTGGGTATACACGTGGGCGCCCAGTTCCGGTCTAACATCTTGCGCCGCATCTCCCTCACCCCCACCCCCCTCCAGGGCCAGCCCCTGTACAAGAAGCTCTACGACACCGCCTTTGCCCTGCCATCCAAGGTCCAGGAGAGCCCCCTCTTTGGCAAGGTCTACCCCCTGGTGGCGCCCCTGGCGGACCCCGTGGCGGCCAACTTCTCAAACTCCAAGGTGCTGCGCCAGCTGGACGACCACCTCAAGCCGAAGACCGCTTGAAGAGGCCTGCGCTCGATGAACCTGCCAGAGCGGGGCGGCGGGTGCCGCTGTATGTGAGACGGGGAGGAGGGCCAGAAGAGCCTGTGACCGGCTCTCCTGTTGTGCACAAGCCCCCTACATGGTGCATGGAGGCTGTGGTAGCATGCCCGGCTCGGTCTTGTGATTTGGCCGTGTGATCCGATGGCGAAGGAGCGCTCAATCACGGGCAGCCACAAGCAGCTGCTGTTCCCCGGCTGAAGTATATTGGCCTGCGATGGGGCGACGGGGAGTGGGCGAGTTGCCACACCGTGCGCCTCTGGGAGAGAGTGGTGCCCCCCTGGAGGTGTGCCTTGCTGCCATATGTCAAGAGTCTGTACACCTAAACCGCCTTGTGATCACAAGTTTGCGCCATAGTTGGGGCAGCCCTGCCGTCACCGCTGCTGCCGCGCCGCCCGAAACGTGCAGAGCATCGGCGCGCTCGCAGAGCTGCAAGCCGCCGCCCAGCTCACCCACGCGGGCGCACACGCGCAGGCGGTGTGTGCGCGTGCTCTCCATTATCTGGGTGTCCACACTTTTGCTACCGTTTGGCCGGGCCGTATAGGCCGGGCTGTATTTCTGGGCATGGGCTGGGCTGTCGGGGCTGGAGTGTCACTCCCCCGAGGCCTCCTCCCCCCCCTGCTGGACTACGTCCCTGCATGCGGTGGCTATTGATTAGCTGTGTTTGAATTCGCTGCTTCCGTATATCAAACTGCGGGTTGGGGAAACCTGCGCTGCAATCTCTGGGTCTTGCCATGACCGGCCTCGCCTCGAACCCCCTTGGCGCATATGGCGTGAGCTCGCTCGAGGTGCAGCACGCGGCCGACCCCGCGGCACACTGTGCATGCACTGGTGCGCAAGGCGGGGCACTGTTGCCAGAGTGCGCCTGTGGGCAAGCTGCACGTTGGCCAAGCCCAGCAGCCCTCCCTGCACTGTAATGGGGCGCTGATGTGCACGGCACCTTTGTCGTCGCGGGTGTGCTCAGGGACGGAGATGCATTGTTCTCTGGTGTCCTCTGGTGTAACTTGCCAGCCACACCCTGCTGTAAGAATGGCGAGGGCGGCCAGAATCAGCGCTTGTGGCTGGGGCTGGGCGGGCACCAGCTCTATGCCATGGGACACAGCTCTGGCTTCACTGGTTGAAGGTTGATGGAATGCAATGTGACGTCTTCGAATGTGAGCCTGACCGCAACAACTGAGTGTGCAAGACTGTGTCCTAGGAAGCAAAGCTTGGCAACCCCAGAGCATTCTGTCAACTGCTGTACGCATGTACATAATTGCTAAATGCCCCAAACATACAAGTATCCTAGCAAAGTCATGCACCTTGGCCAGCCACGGCACCAGACTGCGAGTCAAATTAAGTCTGTCCTCCCCATCCGTCGAGGGGATAGTTAAGAGGCAATTTTGAGGTTGAGGCCCACTCAACACGCCCACGTAACAACGTTGTGATTAACCCTCTGAGCCCCGACCGTGGCCGTGGCCACGGGCCGAAACTTTGCCAAGCTGCTGTGGGCAGCACACAGCACCAAATCCCATTCTGCAAGCTGCAGTAGGTGCCCCTTCATCTCCAGATTGCGCGCTGGGGGCGCCGGGGGGCGCAACCCGCAACTAGCAGGATAGAAACAGGATAGACCATTGCCTGGTTGGGTTTCTAATTCCCAAAAGCCCCTTGCAACACCGCGCGAGACCGCAAAAACACTTCCGCCCGCGTCCAATCAGGTCAATACACCAGCACTGGCGCCCATGCGATAGCCACGCCCCATAAGATGCGAAATTGCAAAGTTCGGGGGAGCACCGCGTAGATCGTGTGCCCGAGCGGTGCGCAACCGTATATGCGTGCTCAATCACACATATGTGACTTCATCGTTGCTGTATTTGAGTGGCCGCGGTGGATGCAGCCGATCCCAGCCATAAATCCTGCAGTTGATGCAGACCGCAAAAGCAGTCTTGCTGCACCTCAATCCATGCCATCATGCATGGGTTTATGATGCCTCTTCTGCGCTTATATGTTAGGAAACCCTCAAAACCAACATCCTTGTGCCCTTGGCTGGCTCAAGGCTGTGTGCAGACGACGTAGGCGGGGCATGATTGTCACTGGTTCGAAGGGTGACTGGGTGTGCCCAGAGGGTGCGGCAGGGCCTCTGGCCTTAATAATGCTCCATAAAGGATTATAATGATACCATCTATGTATTTGAGTTCTATGGAGCACAATTGGACAACAGCTGCTGTCAAGCTGGGGTGCAGCGCAACCGCCTGCGTCACCCGCGCTGTCGCCGCACAAATTCGGTGTCTTCAACGTACACACTGCATACTGTATCGTCGAGTAACTTGTAAAGTATCCCTTATCGCGCGCGCCGCGCTGCTAAGCATCGTTACGCTTCGGTGCGCTGTCGCGACTCGGATCATTGTCGCTGCTCTCCTCACGCGGATGATACGTTGTGAGATCGCGTTGAGGGGTAGTTATGGCCACAGTATAACTAATACAAGGCGGGCGCACGCCGCCGCTCCCCATGCAAGCTGCTCTGGGTGCTGTAGTGGTGCACCCGTCAGAATTAGCGTGTTGGGCCGGGGCCCAAAGGGTTGAGCATCATTCTGAAGCTTACGCCAGCATGTGAATGATTGGCTGCTGTATGTCCTGCCCTGAAACTCTCTGTTGTTGAAGACCCACAAATGAGTGACAAGAGGGGTCCCAGTGTGGTCAGAGTGCACTGAAGCTGCTGTCACACTGCTCTGGACTTTCTGCTCAATGCATTCTGCTGCGCCCCACAGAGGAATAACGCTGCTCATCTGAATCCCCTTTCCCCATCATGCACCACGCTTGAAGCATGCACTTTGTCTGCACAAATGTAGCAATGCCGCGGAAGCCAAGGTATAGTTGCAGGTGCTCAGGTGCAAGCCGTTGTTGACACCGCCTCTGGTACAACCTGAGGACCCGGAAAGGTCAAAGCTCACACCGACCTGGATCAACAGGAACTCTGGTCAACGCCTTCCCCTTGGCACAGTGCAACACTCATGCCTTGTGTGGGCGCGCAGCACCGCAGCCCTGACCCGACCTGTCATTGTCCACCCTCCAGGACGTTGCCGGCGCAGCTAGCCACTGCCTCGCCCATATAGGCTGTCACCCGTGGCGCCGTCTTGAGGAATTTAGCCATTTTCCAACCGCGTGCAGGAGTCCCCTGCACCTTCGCGGCCACCGCCGTTGCACCCAGACGATGACCCTCTGTCGCTTTGGTGGGTGCGGGCTTGATGTAGCCGTGGTGCACGTCAAGCTCTGCAGCGAGGGGTGGGGTGGGGGTTGGCTGTACAGTCACTGGGGGGTGGGTGGGCGGCACGCACATGTTAAGGCTAACTTGGCGACAGGCACCAAGTAAACATGCAGCAGCAGCAGCAGCAGCAGCAGCAGCAGCAGCAGCAGCAGCAGCAGCAGCAGCAGCAGCAGCAGTGGCCGCGGAGACCGCAGCTTCAGCAACAGCGGCGGTAGAAACGGCAGCAACGGCAGCGACAGCGGCGGCGGCGGTCGCGACAGCGACACGTTGGGTGTTTATGTAGGAGGCAAATCACAGGGCGCTGTTGACGCAGAACGTGTTGGCCACGGCTGAGCACTCACCCTCTGCCCTGGCTGCATTCATGTCCACCCTGCAGTGTGATCCACACGAGGTACCGGCAGCATTGCGTGAATGCGAGCACGGTGCCTCATTGTGAGGAGAGCACTAAGCAGCAGCAGCAGCAGCAGCAGCAGCAGCAGCAGCAGCAGCAGCAGCAGCAGCAGCAGCAGCAGCAGCAGCAGCAGCAGCAGCAGCAGCAGCAGCAGCAGCAGCAGCAGCAGCAGCAGCAGCAGCAGCTTGTCAAAATTGTGTATGTCTTGATTGCAGTAATGTTGCACGTACAGCTTACAGTGCCTGAGATACTGCTGTTCTGACTGACAGCATTGTCTCTAAACACCGCAGCAATGTTTAAACCGCTCGCAGAGCTGTCTCTTTGACTGCGAAAGCCCAACAGCTGCAGGCCGCTACACTCACCAGGTGTGTGTGTAGGCGCCCTGCACGAGGTCACGCATGGGCGGGTCGCTGGGCCCACAGCGGCGGCAGTCCTCCGCACTTCGCCTGAGTTTGTTGGGGATTCGAGGTGAGATGAGTTAATTGGGAGAATTAAACCGCACGGGCAAGACATGCACGTAAGGAGCCCTCTCCAAGTACGACGGGCAGAGATTTGCACAAAGCGTTGTGCAACTCACCATGTGCGCGAGTGTCCATAGGCTGCGTCCTTCCCTCCAGGCAGCGGCGGCTGCGGCTTGTGCGCGCCCAAAGCCGCCGCGCCGCGTTTGACGCTGACGGCGTGGCCCTTGCGGAACTCGCGCAGGCCCCGCGTGCCAGTCAGGCCGCTGCACAGCCGGGTTATCACCAAAGGAAACCGGGTGGGAGTGCTTTGTTGCATCAGGCCCGATTGCGGCCCACAGCTAAAGGACGCTTAGGGTTTACGACGCATGATATGAATATTGATCTGTATTGATGTGCAATGAATTTCGTCACTCCGTCTCCACGCAGAACACAGGAACGTGAGAGAGAAGCTCAACCAGACGGGTCCGCCCAGCACATACATCTGGCGCACTACCCCTGCATCATGTGTGTCACCCCGTGCACCCGCCACCTCATCCTCACTTGTCAGCTGCCAACTTGTTCATGGCCCGGAAGTCAGGGCCGGGCTGGGCATGAGGGTTGGGCTTATGCTCAGCCCACTGCATTGTAACTGTGCATATGGTATGTGAGCAGGAGCGAGCAAGGAACATGCAAAGGTGAGGCGCCGATTACAGCAGCAGAGTTTGAGGTCAGACTGTGAACAGCCTTGAAACACCCCAGCCTGAATGCGATGATTGTATCCATCCTCGACACGCGTTTGGTGCTGCATGCGCCCAACAGGAGCAGGCACCTTGACATCTGATCCCGACTCACCCTGCTTGGCGCCCTCCGCTTGCTTCGGGACCTTCAAGCCAAACACGTGGCCTGGCTCCACGTGTTCGCTCGTGAATGTCGTCTTCCGCGGCTTGCCAAGCTCAGAGCGTGCGATCAGCGTGTTGGTCGCCATACTGGCACGCTTTAGGCCCATGAACGGCACGTCGGACGCGTCGCTCGCGCGACCGGCGTCTGCAGCGCCGCCCTGACGGCCGCCCCCAGACGGGGGCATCCAGACCATCGTTGACCTTTTCCTGTTGTATCGGTGCTGTTGCTGTGTTTTCAGCGACCAGACACGTTTGCTGACCGAAGCCCGAAACAGCTACCTGCTGACAATGTATTATTATACAGGTGATGAATGTGGATACGACGCACTACCGTCGAGAAATATAACACGCACTGCTGCATTCTACATGAGACCTCTGTGCGTTGTACCTTGTGTTGATGCACCTGCCTGGTATGCGGCCACACAACTCCCGGAAGCGGCGAAACAGGAAAGTAATAGACACTGAGCCTGGCTTGCTGCACATGATGATACATTCACAAACTCTTACGCTCCAAGCTGTGTCACACGATCGTGCTCCATGCTCGCGGCTCGGCCATTATTCTCGTGTCTATCTCAGCAAATCAATTAAGAGATTTATCATTAGTCGTACTACTTATAGGTTGGCGGTGATCTGATAAGGTGCCCGCGTTGCAGCGTCTCCAGCGGGCTAGAACAGCGCGTCAGAGTAGAGAAAGCAGCAGCGGGAGCTATGGCAGCAGCCGCTGCTCGGAAGCAGGCGCGCCTGCCGCCTGAAGTGAACAGGTGTGCGCAATGCCGCCGGGGTGCACACAGCGGCACCACGCGCCTGAGGACTCAGCTGGTGATGGTGTTTAAGTGGAGGGACTCGTGGAAGCGGCATGTGCTGCATGATGTTGTACAGCCGCCGACGGTGTCAAGAGCCCCCACACCAACCAGCCGAGCAGTGTCGCTCGGCGGCCAGGGCCCACGTCAGACTTGCTGCCCCATGCCTCGCCCCTGTCACGCCGTTGCAGAATCTTGTATGTGCGCAACCTGCCTTTCAACATCAGCTCAGAGGAGATGTACGAAATCTTTGGCAGATATGGAGCCGTCCGGCAGATCCGAGTGTGAGCAGCCGCCTTGGCTGCGCTCCGCAGCAACACGCCTGTCGCGAGAAGTTGCCACGCGCCTGACGACGCCCTACTTGCATGCGCCAACACTCTCCGACCATGCCTCAAGCGCACCCCCGTGCTTGCACCGCAGCGGCACCAACAAGGAAACGCGTGGCACCGCGTACGTCGTGTTTGAGGACATCCATGACGCGAAGCAGGCCTGCGACCACCTCAGCGGCTTCAACGTGCAGAACAGGCGCGCACAAGCCCCACCATGCCATGGACGCGCATGCGGGCCTTGCAGCACATGCCTAAGATGGACCATTCAAAGCCACGCACCCCTGGTTGTCGCTCTGCATCTCGTTGACGTAGCGCGTGCCCGCGTTGCTGGATTCTTCATGCGCCAACACTGCCACCGCCTTGTCGTGACCCCGCCAGGTATCTTATCTGCCTGTACTACAACCCCACCAAGCACAACCGCAAGCTGAGCCTCAAGGAGGAGGAGGAGCAGGTCAAGAACATGCAGGTGAGGGGGGAGAGGTCAAGGGGAGGGATGGGCTGGGGGCAGCTCTGCTGCTGCGCGTTGGTGCATGGCCAAAGCAAGAGCTGCTAGCCTCAGTGCCAAGCAGGAGGCGAGACGGCTGTGATTGACCGTAGCGCGCGCTCGCGTGCACCCCTGTCAACCTCGTGATGGTGTCTCCCTCCCCGCATCACCCCTGTCCGCCCCCCCGGCCCCCTCCCCTCGTCGCCAGGCAAGGTATGGGGTGGATGGCGAGCAGCACGCGCGCAGTGGCGGCAGCCGAGACGGCAGCGGCGGGGGTGGGGGTGCGCGGTAGCAATTGGCTAGCAATCTGGTGTGTGAGTCCGTTACTTTTGCATCTTTTGCGTTTGTTGACCCGTGACATTACGACGGAGCCTGGTTTCCATGCACAGGTCATGCCGTTCGCCTGCCAGCATGACTTGTTGTCGTTGGCAGAACCGCTGTGCTGACGCCCGTACGGCGAAAGCATGTTCAATCTGCCCTGCAGGTGCACCTTGTTACAAACAAGTAGAGCTTGCATTGATGGCCCACGGTGACTTGATTGCAGCGCGGCACTCGGCTTTGTGGGGCGACACTGCCCTGCGCAACAGCAGCCTCGGGGTCAGTGGGAGCGGCCTGAGTGGTGCAGGCAGCGAGTCTGAGGTTCCAAGAGGTGACGGTCACGCGCAATGCCCCCACTCCCCACGAAACGAGAGAAGCTCATGTGCGCTGAACTCCCCTCTCTTTGCCAACCTCGGCATGCACAAGAGCAAACGCACTTCCAAAGAGCCGTGCACAGGCATACATTGTAGCCGGCGATGGCGGACGCCGCCGTGTGCAACAGCACTGGTCATAATCGCCCAACTTTGCGGGCTTCCAGGAACGCTTCCGCTGCGTACGGTGGGCGACGCTTGGGCGCACCAGCTCTGTTGACCTCCAGGTCCCATGTGCCTTGACACAATAAGGCAAATGGCAAGTCTCCATTGCAGTGAGCCACAATCAAATGGATCCTGCACATGCATATCCATTGCACCAAGCTACCTGGACTGAAAACAGAGAAAACACGAACTGAGACTGTCACAAAGCTAAGGGAATCTGACATTGGTGGAGCGGCCGCCACTGTCCAGGCAGGGAAGCCAGGGCGCGCATGCCCAGGCCAGCTCTCACTAGGTCCGTCATCAAGCGACCAAGGTGCTAACCCCCCATGAGCGCCGTCAGCTGCTGTGCCACTGCCCTCACCCCCGCCAGCGCCGCCTCCTTGTCGCTCGACGCCAGGCGCGGCAGCAGGCGCGCCCCAAACTTGTCGGGGTGCCACCGCATCAGCTCTGTCCGCAGGCGCTTCTTCAGGTCAGAGGGGCCCCTGGGGTGGGGGGTAGGGGGTGAGGAGTGAGGGGGGAGGGTGCCCGTTGGTGAGAAGGGCCCAACGAGACGTGTGCTGCTGTGCCTGGCTCACGCCAGCTGTTGCGACGGTTCAACGCAGCCAGGCCGGATACAGGTTCACGCCTCGCCTCCCCCGGCAGACACAGGTCGACGGCGGGGTGGAGCGCCCTCGCCTCGCCGCCCAGGGCAGCACGCGCCCCACTCACTTGACTCCAAACAGCACCAGGTCCCGCAGCTCGCCCCCGCCAGCTGTTGCCGCAGCCGCGACCGCCGCAGAGCCACCTTTTGCGGCGGCCAGCGCGCGTGTGGGCCAGGGTATGTCGGAGTAGCGGATTGCCGCGCCGCCGGCCGCGCGGGCCCTGGCCTCCAGGGCGGCCCAGGCAGCCTCGTAGTCACGGCGGCGCGCCGGCAGGCCAGCCTGCGTGGTGGGGGATTGAGTGCGGTACGGCAGCGGGGCGTGTGGCTGTGGAGGGCACGGGGTCAAGCAGCAACCCTTCACTTGAAGAGGGGACTTTTTGCACCAAGGGCTGCAGGCAGCTCGATCTCCCTAGCCCGGTCCCCTCATGACAAACCCAAACCCCTCTGCGCCCCTCCAACCCCACCTCTGCCACCTGCCGCAGCATCGCGTCGCGCCAGTTGGCCTGCTTTGCCCTCTCCTCAGCCAGGATCCGCGCGCTCTCCGCCGCCGCCGCCTCGGCCCGCCGCCGCCGCTCCGCGTCCGCGCCCGCGCGCGCGGCCGCCGCGTCCC